AAGGAAGCAATGAAAGGAAGAAGGAAGGAATAAATAGAATAGAATAGACAATGTCGCAGTGCTGTCCCACTGTAGTTACACATATTGTTTCATGAAACGTTTGTTTCACTTGTATATGTGTGGTGTGTTTTAAAAATTTCCAAAACCTTCCAGAATTTAGCATGTATTTGCTTAGTGTCTGAAACGGGCTGAAGTTTTCACATTAAAAATTATCATTAAAAACTATGTTAAGATATGTATTTGAGGAGAAAAGCATTCCTACTTAGCTTTAATGTTTTCAATAAAAATTTTCTTTGTTGCCCCATGGCAAGTTCTATTAAAAGTAATAAGAACGTGGCTAATTTTGAAGTACAAGATTAAGGCGTATTCTGAAGCTGCTTGTTTAAAGCCCCTGTTTGTTATTAGATGGAATGCTGGGTGTAGGCTGGTATGGTTCATACTTGGGATCTAGCCTGAAAGACATGTTTTCACCCTCAACAAATATCATCTTTGTTTGAATATCTGTAGTCCATGTAACCACAGCAAGGTCTTTCTTCTCCCTTAGAATGTATCTCAAACGTTTTCTTTCTTGTGCTTGTTTCACAGTAGTTTAAAGTAGAGCTGCCTTCTGCATTTCTGTTTCAGTTTGTTGCAGAATGTGTAAGGTACCACCTAACACTTGTGGTGTGCCTGAGAACTATAAAATAATGATGAAATCTTGGAATAGATAAGTTTACTCTATGAGGACTGAAGCGGTTGTTAATTCCCAAGGCCAGACGTGTTATCTAACCAAGGGTAAAGTACTTTGCAAATGGAAAATTTTGATTTATGTATATTTAACATTCATCTGTCAAAATGTACACTAGGAAAAATGGTCTGCTGTCAGTTTTGTTTTATTGGATTGAATTTGAAATTTAATAATTTTAGATTACGGTTTGGGGTTAACTTGAAGATACTAAATTACAATGCTTGCTTTTAAAAAATGTAATTCAGGAGGATACTTGATTCTTAAAAGTTCTTGTGTTTAAATGGAATTAGAAGTCTTCTTAAAATGTTATAGTTGTCACTTTTTAAAATGCTTCTTAAAATGCTATAGTTGTCATTTTCTTCTTAAATTTGTGCCCAGAGATGTTTTCCTATATACTTGAGCATTTAATCCAAACATCTTTTGATCCTTACTACTTAAAATATCTCTTATACTTTGAAAACTTGTTATATTAAATGTAAAGTCAATAAAAATAACTTGATTTAATTTGGCTTGAATAATGTAATAGGTTTTTTAAATTTGATAATGACGTGATGTAAGTACCAAGTAACACAGCTGTCACTGTTTGATAGGTGCCTGGAACTTTGTGCACATTTGCACAGAGATGCCGGACAGCTGTTGAGAGCCCTTGTGGTCAGTGTTTTAGGGCAAGCTCTTTGTTCTTGCAGTGAATTTCTAAATAAGCAGTCAGAATGAAACCAAGGGGAGTATTCTAGTGTAATTCTTAATAAACTTCTCAACTATAGATCAGACAGTATGAAACATAATTCAGCTATAGCAAGTTCTGCATGAGGATACTACTTTTTACTCTAAAGATGATTCCCTCACAATGCAGATTATTAAATAATGTCTTTAAATTCAGTGTTGGGAAAGATTGGCATTTCCGTTTAATCTCTTCAAAAAAGCAGGTTTGGCTGTATTTTCTAAAATTAGTTTGACTTTAAAGCCACTCTCCTTTTAGAATATAGATCTTCCTCGACTTACGATGGGGTTATGTCCTAATAAACTCATTGTAAGTTGAAAGTATCGTTAAGTGGAAAATGCATTTAATACACCTAACCTACAAAACATCCTAGCTTAGCCTAGCCTACCTTAAACATGCTCAGAAGACTCACTTTAGCTACAGTTGGGCAAAATCATCACACGCAAAGCCTATTTTATAATAAAGTGTTGAATATCTCATGTAATTTATTGAATACTGTACTGAACGTGAAAAACAGAATGGTTATAAATGTATCAGTTGTTCACCCTTGTGATCGCATGGCTGACTGGCAGCTGCGCTCGCTGGCGCTGCCCAGCGTCGTGAGAGATTGTGGTACTGCGTATCGCTAGCCTGGGAAAAGATACAATACAAAATTCAAAGTACAGTTTCTACCGAATGCCTATTGCTTTTGCACCATCATTAAGTCAAACCATCGTAAGTCGGGGAGTGTCTGTACATTCATTAATATTACAAGATTTTCTCTCCATGGGGAAATATAAAGATAAGAATTTTCTAAAGGAATTTAAAGATTTAGAACTTATTTGATTTAGAGTCAAGTCAGCTGTTCTAATCATGTTAAAGTACATCATCTTTCTTTCATAAAATTAGGATACAATTTCATCCAGTTTTGCTACAACCTCTATTATGTGGTTAGGTTTTCCTTTCTGGAAATCTCTAGTCAGAAAATGATCTGTGTAAAGCTTTATATCTGACAGTTTGCCACAGTGACGTTTTCTTGGGATACTTTGATCTTCACTTCCCAGCTCCATACCGTTTCCAGTTCTTGCCTTTATACTTTTAAACTTTTCAGTGCTAAGTATGAAATATAGTTGAGACTCCTACAACCAGTAGCAGGAATAAAGCACTGGTATAATATATGTTCAGAGAAAAACCTTCATCCATTGAGTTTGGCCTAATCACCATAGAAATTCATGCTTAGCTGTTCTGATAATGGAAGTGGAATTTAATAAGTAGTCAGGTTTTCTAGTTTGAGTTTAATTTCTGTTGATTTGCTTTCTCTACCCTTCTCTAGAAGTGTAAATGTGATGTTTTAAAGCTGGGCAACAGAAGAGGGAAAAAGGAATTGACACAGGTTCATAAGTCTGAAATAGGATAATGAATATGTATATAATTGAGTTGATTATCTCAGACTTCTGATTGCATTCGTTCACTGTGAAAATCTAAACTAGTCTATACTTTTATTTTTTTGAACCATTCTATTATTTATTCACATTTCCTGCAAATGATAGCGTATTGACATTTTATAGTCCAACTGAGAAAAGCAGTGACATAAACACTTTTTCCCAAATACACTTTTACAAATTTACAAACTCTTATCTTGCTATTTTTTACTCTTCCCTTGTGCTTGTTTATCTCACTGGCATAAATCCCTAGAGGCGGAATTGTTCGGTAAAGGGTATGCCTGTTTTTAAGACTTTTGATATGTATTATCAAATTGCTTTCCAGAAAGATTTATGCACTTATAAGTCTGCCCTCAGAGTAGGGTGCTGCAGATGTCCCTACAGTGTTGTCAGAATTGCGTAGTATCATTGCATTTTTTGGTGAGTCTGAGATAGGTGCAAAGGGATATTTTAACACTGGTATTTCTTTAGTTTCTAATGAGTTTGATTTTTTCCCGTGTCTTGGCTTTTAAATTTAGATTTTATTTTTATGAGAGTTATCCTTGGTTCAAAGATTCAGCGGTGTGTGAGACTTATTTTGAAAAATAGCTGACGTCTATACTCGTCCCTCCTCGCTGCCCACCCTGTGGAGTAACCACTCTCCACTCCCCAGCCGATTCTTTCTGTTTACTTCATAGCACTGGGTAACAGGCCTGTGTTGCCACTTCCGGCTTCTGCAGTTTGAGGCAGTAGCTATTGGTTTCTTGTTGGAGGGTGTGAGGATTTGGTTTTCTTCTGTGCACCCAACCTCTGCTGCACACACACGTGCACATCCCTTCAGCTCTCAGGGAGTGTCTACTCACTTTCATCAACTCCCTTTGTTTAACCCCACCCTTACCTCTCCTCAGGAAGCACCGATTGCTGGGCCTTTGAGGGAGGGGATTTAAAGCATCTCTATACTGTCATTTTAGTGGGGCTTCAGGAGGAGTGGATAGAAAACTGTGTGTTCCATCTGCCATCTTTAACTGAAAGTCCTTTTTCGTTGTCTTTAGTAATCATTTTTATAAAGTAATCGTTAAAATTGTGGGCTATGGAGTCAAGACTGTCTGGATTTGAATCCCTGCTTTGCGACCTTAGACAAGTTGATTAAAATCTCTAAACCTCATTTTTTTCATCTGTGTAACAGAATTAACATGATACCTCTCTTAAAGTGTTGTGAGAATTAAATGTGATAAGGCATGTGAAGTGCTTTTCACAGTATCTGCTGCCTGGAAGTATCTTACTATCTGCCAGGCACTTAGTAAGAACACAGATATAGTTGTCACTGCTGTTGTTACTCTTGTGAATTTCTTGCTCCTGACCTTTGCCCAGTTTTCCAATGGAATACTTGTCTTTTTCTTCTTGATCAGAGGTGCCTTTTTATACAGTCTGTCATTGGTCTTTTATTTTTATTTATGGTACTTGGGATGTGTCATTATATCCCTACTATTTCGTGTTATGATCTCTACTTTTGTTGTCAGATTTGTGTTTTTGAGATACCTGGTGGTAATGAGAAAGAAGAGTGTGTATGTGTGTGTGCTTGAGCAGTAAAACTGGAGATTATTATAGTAATTAGGGCAATTGATAAGGGGGACCTGAGGCTAAATGTAGAAATGATTATTTTCATCATGTAAGAGAAATAATTTTTTTTAACTCCTGAAGTATATCTTGCACTCTTGTATTTTGTGGACAAATTACCTTAATTTTCAAAAGCCTCCTTGAATGCTATTCTCATCATCTACCCAAGTGAATGTCATCTGAAAACTTAGAGCTTTCAGTTTCAGTTTCTACTTTAATACTAATTTTCGTGAAATTAGATCCAAAATTGATTCTTGGATAAGATTTATCATATCCCCTAAGTTAATGCTATGTTAACAAATTTGCTTTCTTATGAATATCATATGTAATATTGAAATGGTTGATATGTTGATATTTCAGAGTTGTGGTTACAGATACCTAACTCATCCTTATAAGTTTATTTGATTTTGCTGGTTTGTCATTTTAGGCAGTATTGATTTATTGTACTATTTTTATTTGTTTTGTCTTAGTTTTATAATTAATTAACTTTATGGTTCTTTAAATAACAGTTCATCTAAATTTGGTCTCTCCACAGATTCGGACCAGGATGTAGCACTCAAACTTGCCCAGGAGCGAGCTGAAATAGTTGCTAAATATGACAGAGTAAGTATTCGTATTTACTCTTTGAGTAAGTTTTATTAGAAAAAACATATAAATAGAAATGGATTTGCTTTTTAGAGAGCTAAAATTACAGAAGCAGTTTGTTTGCTTCATGTGACCACTGAAGTCATCTTTTTTTTCTGACTTCATCTCCAGATTTTCTCTCCCTCCTTCCCTCTGCTCCAGCCGCTCTGGTCTCTTTGCTGTTCTTCCAGCACACCCGGCTTGCTCCTGCCTCAGGACCTTCACAGCAGCTGTGCCTTCTGCCTAGAACACTTGTATCCTGGATATCCTCAGGCCTCATTGCCTCACCTCTTTCAGATCTTTACCCAGATGCTACCTTCTTAGTGAGATCTTCTCTGACCACACTGTTTAATAGCCCCCTCTACTCCCTGGCTCTCTGTATCCCTTTCTCTTTATTATTTTTCTCTATAGCATTTATTATATCAGCATAGTTGATATTATGCTTATTTTATTTGTTGTCTGCTCTCACTCCTAGAATATAAACTCTGAGGGTAAGAATTTCTTTTGTTTCATTTACTTTTGTATTCTAAATACCTAGAACAGTTCCTGACTCATACTAGGTATTAAATAAATATTTAAATACATTAGAATACAGACTTAAATACCCATTTTATTCATAATTTATATGCTATTAAAAATTTAACATGGATCTGAAAATTTGAATTTATACATTATGTATAATCTCCATTAGCATTTTATCCTTACATTAATTGTGGAAGCTGTTTTTTGATGTCCTAGAAAAATCACGGTTGTTGACAATTTACATGTCTCCTTATTATTGCCTTACCTCTTAAGATCTGTAGTGAGTTGTTGCAGTGATTTATGTGTCAGGTTTTATATTTATATCACTTGCCTGTAATTTCATATCTGTTATTTTTGATTATTTGTGAGAATAATAGGAGCATGAAATTACAGAAAGCCATCTGGACTACGCCCTGCTTCTAGGGAGGCATACAGACAGTACTCAACTCAACGGTTAGGTTCCCAGAGTTCATTTTTAAATTGCTTGTTTGGAACATCAGACAGTTTCCCATTATTGTGATTAAGTTTTAGTGTAGTCCATGAAAAACCCAATTAATTTATTTCACTGCTTAACTAGTTTAAAACCAATAGAACTATCATTCATTCATGTTTGCATGCCTTTTTTTTTTCCATGCAATTAATCCTTTAGTAACCAGGCTAGGTATCATGCTAGGCCTTGGGGATTCACAATACAGACATGAATTACAGCAGTCCTTGCCCATAAGATACTCATGGCCTACTCGGAGGAGAACACACAAGCAGACAGTTATAAAATATACTCAGATGGAGGGGTCTGCAAGACAGTTGGGCACTGAGTCTGAAATTGGAGGGATTGGTACAGACTGTTACATTTTGGGTTCCTGCTCTAATCAGTGCTAGTTAATAGCCTCAGAGTAGAGTGAGAAGAGCAGTTAGCTGAGGACAGAGCTCTGGGTACCCCAACAGTTAAGATAAGAGGTACCCATGAAGAAGCCATCAAAAGGAGAATTGGATAGGGCAGAAGGAGAACCAAGAGAGGATGGTGTCATGGAGGTTGAGGAATAGGGAGTGAGCAACATTGACAAATGAACTGAAAAAAATCCATTAGATAGGACTGAAGAGTGTCTACTGGATTTGACAGTGGGAGATCATTTTTGACCTTGGCAGGAATAGTGTTAAGGCTGATGTGGCTGTGAAGTAAAGTAGAGAGACAACTGGATAGCTTACTCTTCTGAGAAGTTTGGATGAAAAGGCAGAAAGTATTTTTTTACTAAGATGATACTCTAAAACTTTCAAGTTGGGCAGTTGATTCTCTCGTGGCTTTCTTATCCTCCGTGGTTCCCTCTTTCCCATTTGTCTCCTCACAGGAACCCAAGACTGATTAAGGCTTAGCCACATGTCAGCTGTTGCTGACATACAGTATCTTCCAGAGTTTGTAACTAGGCAATAGGGATTATATTGCCAAAAATAGTTTGTTTTTTAGAAAAAGTTAAGGTGGCTAATGCCTCATTTCCAATTCTTATTGTTAATACATAAAAAATAACTCTTTTTGGTCTTCTTATTTTAAGAAATTATTCAGTTTTATAAATTGCCGTTAACACCCTCCTTTGCCCCTATTATAGGGACGAGAAGGTGCAGAGATTGAACCTTGGGAGGATGCTGATTACCTGGTTTACAAAGTCACAGATAGATTTGGCTTTTTACAGTAAGTTGCACAGATTAAAACCTAACTTTTTTATTATAATGTTTCTATGGTGACCTATTATATTGATTTTCTTTATTTTTAATAGCATTGCTGTGAATAAGATTCCAGGACTGGTCCTGCAATGTGCTTTTTGTTATTAAATTCCTGGCATTTTTAACCTCTGTGATTGAAACTGAACCATAGTTAAGAATACAGTCTTTAATATTTGTTGTATTTTAGTAAGAACATTAAGTGCAGTAAATGAATTTATTAATAATTTAGCAGAATTAAATGGAAATGAATAACAATTTGTATTTCAACAATAATTATAAAACATTTCATTTTATATAAATGCATTTTAAAAATAATTAGCAATTAGAACTTTAGTGTTATGCAGCCTAAAAATGAGCAATGAAAAGAAATGCCATCGATCTTCCTAATAGTTGTAAATGTATTCGTGTTATTGCTTCCCAAAATTAATTCCATTTATCCTGAGTATGTTACATAAAGAGTTGAGAGAGGTCTAGACCACTATAAAGTGGTTAAAGTGATTTTAAAAACACCCTGCAAATGATGTGAGTCTGCCTACTTTGGTACTGGTGTTGTTTAGTCAGATTCCCACAGGCTGGAGACTTCTCTTCATCTCTATCGTTTGTTTGGTTCCATACAATTTAGTGGTTAACTTACTTCTCATTCAAATGTATTCTTTTCTAGTCTCATTTATTATAAATAGGAAAAATCCAGGGATTTTTGTTTTATGACATATGATTAAATTTTGAAGGAAAAATACAATTTCTTGTACAGGTCATAGCAACTTATAGTACTCAGACCTTGTTTTCTCCTTCTGTTCAGTTTTCTTGTATTTAGAAAGTATTTTGTTGTATCATGTTTTTACCAAGGTAAAACAAGCAAACAAACAAACAGAAACAGTTCTGGGAGTCAGAGAATGTATGTTCTTCTTGTGGCTTTGCTGGTCCCAGTTAACCATTTCATGCCTCATCTGTAAAACAAATTATTAACTGCTCTACATATCTTAGAGTATAGTTGAAATGTTGAAGAAATAAAATAGGAGAATATTATATGAAGGTCTGGACAAATATAAGGTGTTATTATTATACCTAATGACATTAGCATATCCCAGATGTTCTCCTGAGTAGTTAGAATTAGAAGACTTTGAACTTCAACAGACTAATAGAGCAGTATTTAACTATGATGAAAATACTGTTCTTAATTTAAACTCTCACTTCCACTTTTTTATGTAAATCAAACTTGGCCGAAAATGTGGCAGGAAATCAGTACACGTTCGTGTGAGTTAATGTGCAGATCTGAGTGAATGAAGTTTTGAAGGACAGTTTGAGCATTTAGCACTGTCAAGATCAGTGGGTCCCAAACTTGCCTGCACGTTAGAATCAGCTGGGAAATGTTTGTTGTGGTTTTTTTTTTTTTTTTTTTTTTTTTTTACAAAAAACAGATTTCTGGGTTCTATCCCAGATTTTGATTCAGAAGGTAGGATACAACTCAGCTGATTTTGATCTCCCCAAGTGTTTCTGATGGGAGTGAACCACTATAAAAAAATGTTTTTATCATAAAATGATCTAATATAGTACAAAATACATATGAAAAACCTGTGCGTTCCAAAAGTGTTCTAATAATTACCTAAATTCTCTTTTCTCGTTGAAACAGCATGAGCTACGTTCTAGCCCAGGAGCCTAGCCTGTACTTGGCAATCTAAAATTGCACTCAGTTATTTCGTGTTTTTTACCCTCTGTGCTGAGGTCCATTTGGCTCTAGTGGGAAGAAAGGCAGTCAATCATTTATCTTAATCATAGTAGCTAATATTTATTGAGCACTTCCTGTGTGTCAGGCACTGTTCTAAGCTCTTTACATGGATTAATTCATTTATTCGTCTCAAAAACTCTTTGGGATAGGTACTCTTTCTATCTTTTTTTTAGATGAAACTGAAGCGCAAAGAGGTCAAGCAACTTGCCCCAGTTGTGCTGGCAGTAAGTGTCAGATCTAGGATGTGGACCTTGGCAGTCTTACAGCAGAGCCAGTGTCCTGAACTGCTGTATTATATTGCCTGGTACTGCTCTCCTGTATTTTTAATAAGAGAAACATAGAAGAAGCACTTTGAAATGCCTAGAAGGAAAATTAATGGGGAAAACAGAGTGCCTAAGGAGAAGGATACTGTTTGAAATGATCACTCTGCTGAGGTATACCAGATAGCTAAGCTCACCACTTTTAAAATGAAACTGATTGGTACTAGTTCTCATACTGTCGCACTGGTTTTTTCTTTGCTCCATGATGCAGTCCTAAAGCAGGCAGCACAAATGGAAATAATGAAGCATAGAAATGGATTTTAGTGTAATGTTAGGCTTTATTAAATTTCACTGAAGTCATTGATTTTGTTACAATGCTTCATTTAAGTAAAACATTTTCTCTTGAGGTTGCTGCTGGTGCCTTTTATTGCTTGTCACTGTAGACTGGAGTTCTTTGAGCTATTGAGTAAAGTCCCTTGGCCTAGGCGTTTAGATGCTGCTCCCTCTCACACCTTGATCAAAAGAGCATTTCTTTCTGCCATCTTAGTTCTTTGCAATTTTTGATTGGTTCTGCAATGAAATTGTGTTTTAAGTGTCAATGTCAATCCAATACTAATGGCAAAAAGTAACTTCGTAGCCTTCTCTGAAGGCTACTGACTTCATATCTAATTACAGTTTTAGTAACTTAAATTAATTGTTATATGAAGAAGGATGACAGTACAGGACTAACTTAGTTTTATAACAGATTTCACAATAAATATAAAAACTGTTGCTAAACCATCCTGGCTTGGTGCTGGAACAGGAATATCTTTATTTAGTACTCAGAAATGGGGAGTTACCCCCAGTGAGAATGCCGGTAATGGAGTTATGCCTGGAAAATGGAGAAATCAGGCTTATTTAAGGAGTTAGAGAACTTTCAACATTTTTATCAAAAATAGTCACTGCTAGTCTGCTCAACAAAGAATGCTTGGTATTTGGATAATGACAGATAATGTTTTTAGGTCACAAGTTATTAATAGAGAATTAGAAGGAAATCATACCAAAAATAAAGATAAAATTAAAACCAAGCTTCAGATTTTCAACTATTTATCAAAATGTGTGTATTTATAAAATTTAGCAGATTATCTGTAGTTTACTATGACTATATAAATATTTGAAAGCCAGAATAAAGGTGTTTTTGTTTTTAAAGAATATCTGTTTTGGTGACAAGGGCTTGAGACAGAACTCTTTCTACCCATCTAATAATTTTGACTAGAGTAAATCTAAACTTAGACAAAATTTACTACAAAAACAGAAATAAAATTTAGTCAATATATTCAACTTACTAATTTTAACAGGTTAAGTTTTAAGTTTCCAAATGAAAGTTTATCTCACAGTTACAGAAATAATCCACCTGAGCTATTGAAAAATTATAGGTCCATATACTCTAATTAGTAATTCTAAGTTTAATAACAGTTGAAAAAAATAAATCCAGTTAAAGTCCCCCTCTTTCTAGGGATGACTATGTTGTTGTTGTTTTTACTTACTGTGTTTCCATGAGGCATAGCTTCTTGCTGTCAGCTTATTGTTTTCTTTAAGAAGTCTCTAAGTGCCTCATTCCCTTAGAGGACAAACCTTCGTTTTCTAAAGCAGGGGTAGGCAACATAAAGCAGGAGTTTTGTAAAGCAGGAGTAGGCTCTTTCTATAAAGAGGCAGATAGTAAATATTTTTGGCTTCGTGGACCCTGTGGTCTTTGTCACAGCTATTCAGCTCAACCTTTGTAGCATAAAAATAACCACATACAACACATAAATGAATAAGTGTAGCAGTGTTCCCATAAAACTTTATTTACAAAAACAGGCAGTGGGCCAGATTTGATCTATGGGTTGTAGTTTGCTGACCTAAAGGAATACTCTTCGCTCACCCAGATTTTGGTCCTTCCTTTCTTCTACTTGAAGGATATTTAGGTGGCAAGGTGAAGATGCATACATGCATACAGGTGTACGTTCATCCTTCCCTTCATACATTCATTCAGCAGTGTTGGTGCACTCCTTCAACATGCCAGCCACTGTGCCTGAGGCTGGTACAGAGCTTTACATGTGTGTTCTAGACATTGTGTGTGGCTCTTAAGGCAGCAATCCCCTGCTTTTTCCTTGGAAGGCTGTGAAAATTAATGTATGCCAACACAGAGATTTGAGGAGGAAAAGTTCTTTGAAGATGAGTACTGTACACACAGCAGATTTTGTATAAAAAGTTTTAGGTATGGAGCAATAATGCAAGAAAATCCATATAGGAAAACTTGACTGCGTTCTTGCTCTGTCATCCATCTGTCAAGTGTCAATGCTTTTTACAAAATTCAACATCCATTCATGTAGAAACTGTCAATAAAATGGGTGTAGAAGGAATGTACCTCAACATAATAAAGGCCATATACGACAAGCCCACAGCTAACATCATACTCAATGGTGAAAACTGAAAGCTTTTCCCCTAAGATCAGGAACAAGAATGGGGATGCCCACTCTTGCAACTTTTATTCAACGTAGTACTGGAAGTCCTAGCCAGAGCAAGAAAAAGAAATAAAAGGCTTCCAAGTTGGAAGGGAAGGAGTAAAACTGTCTCTATTTGCAGATAATATGATCTTATATATAGACTCCACAAAAAACTGTTAGAACTGATAAACAAATTCAATCAAGTTGCAGATACAAAATCAATATACAAAAGTCAGTTGCGTTTCTATACACTAGTAACAAACTATCGGAAAGAGAAGTTAAGAAAACAGTCCCATTTACAATTGCATCAAAAAGAATAAAATACCTGGGAATCAATTTAACCAAGGAGGACTATAAGACATTGGTGAAAGAAATGGAAGAAGACACAAATAAATGGAAAGATATTCTGTGCTCATGGATTGGAAGAACTAATATTGTTATAGTGTTCATACTACCCAAAGTGATCTACAGATTCAGTGCAAGTCCTATCAAAATTCCAGTGGCATGTTTCACAGAAATAGAACAAACAATCCTAGAATTTGTATGGAACCACAAAAGACCCTGAATAGCCCAAGCAATTCTGAGCAAGAAGAACAAAGCTGGAGGCATCACATTTCTTGATTTCAAACTGTATTACAAAGCTGTAGTAATCAGAACAGTATGGTATTGGCATAAAAACAGACACATAGATCAATGGAACAGAATAGAGAGCCCATAAATAAACCCACACATGTATGGTCAATTAATTTATGACAAAGGAGCCAAAAATATACAATGAGGAAAGGATAGTCTGATCAAAAAATGGTTTTGGGAAAATGGGGCAGCCATCTGCAAAAGAATGAAACTGGACCACTATCTTATACCATACACAAAAGTCAACTCAAAATGGATTAAAGATTGAACATAAGACCTGAAACCACAAAACTCCTAAAAGAAAACATAGGTGGTAAGCACCTTGACGTCAGTCTTGGCAATGATTTTTTGGATTTGACAACAAAAGCAAAGGCAACAAAAGCAAAAATAAACAAGTGGGACTACATCAAACTAAAAAGCTTCTGCACAGCAAAGGAAACCAGCAACAAAATGAAAAGACAACCTACGGAGTGGGAGAAAATATTTGCAAAGCATATATCTGATAAGGGGTTAATAACCAAAATATGTAAAGAACTCATACAATTCAATAGCAAAAAAGCAAATAATCCAATTTAAAAATAGGCAGAGGATCTGAGTAGGTGTTTCTCAAAGAAGACATACAGATGGCCAACAGGTACATGAAAAGGTGCTCAACATCACTAAAATCATCAGGGAAATGTAAATCAAATCCACAGTGAGATATTGCCTCACACCTGTTAGAATGGCTATCATCAAAAAGACTAGAAATAACAAGTGTTGGCAAGGATGCGGAGAAAAGGGAACCCTTGTGCGCTGTTGCTGGGAATATAAGTTGGTGCAGACACTGTGGAATATAGTATTGTGATTCCTCAAAAAATTAAAAATAGAACTGCCATATGATCCAGCAATTCCACTTCTGGGTATTCATCCAAAGGAAATGAAATCACTATCTTGAAAAGGTATCTGCACCCCCATATTCACTGCAGTATTATTTACAATAGCCAAGACATGGAAACAACCTAAGTGTCCATCGACAGATGAGTGGATAAAGAAAATGCCATAAACATACACACACGTGTGTGCGATAGAATATTATTCAGCCATAAAAAATAAGGAAATCCTGCCATTTACGACACCATGGATGGACTTGAGGGCATTATGTTAAGTGATATAAGTCAGACAGAGAAAAACAAATACTATATGGTGTCACTTATATGTGGAATCTAAAAAAAAAAACAACTCATCGATACAGAGAAAAGATTGATGGTTGCCAGAGGTGGGGGGTGAGGGAAATGGGTGAATGGGTTCAAAAGGTACAAATTTCCAATTATAAGATAAATAAGTCCTAAATAAGTACAGCGTGGTGACTATAGTTAACAAAACTGTATTGTATATTTGAAAGTTCCTAAGGGAGTAGATCTTAAAAGTTATCATCACAAGGAAAAAACCAAAAAATTTGTAACTATGTGTGGTGATGGATGTTAACTAAACTTAATGTAATCATTTTGCAATATACACATATATCAAATCATGTTATATATCTAAAACGAATACATTTTTATATGTCAATTATATATCAATTTAAAAATAAAATAAATGCACATTAAAAAAAGGCTTAGATAGTAGGAGTTCGATAACTATTTGGGGATCATGATGGGGAGCTACTTAGGCAGCCAGATCCTGGTGGGGTTGTGACAATGCAAAAGGAAATGATGTAAAATATAGGTCTGGAGGGAAATCCAAGACCAAGTTTGTCTACTCCAGGATTTTGCCTAGGGCTGACCTTGGTGGTACATGTATTCCTGCATCCCTCTCTCTCAGGGTTTTCCACAGCATGGCTTGAGGTTAAGGTGGCGTGGGGTGCTGTGTGCAGTCCTGTCTTGAATTTCCCAAAGCAGTTCATTCTGTAGGACCTGCCCACCACAGGCCATGTAGCCTGAGCAGATGATCAGCATCGTTCCACAGACAAGTACAAAACTTGGTTCTGATTCAGTGTTGAAAGTAGGCATGATTAAGTCTTTTAGTCTTGTTTAGTAAATAGGAGGACACCAAAGAAATGTACCCAGCAACTTCAAAGAACTTGTCTTGTGGTTGGCACTTCATCTGCAGTTAGGAATGTTCAAATAAACAGTTGTCAGGATCAGCTCAAATCAACTGTACAAAAGGTTTCTCAGAAGCCCAGGGCAGCCCGCTCGCCCCAGAAATACTATTCCTGGTGCACACAAAAGGTGCCAGATGTTCTTATTATTTCAAGGTGTCCCTGCAGACCTGATCACCTGGGAAGTACATTCCAGTGGTGTTGACAAGCCCTCTTCTGCCAGTAAATGAAGAATTGGATAGGTGCACTTTGAAACCAGAAGTTATATCCTGTACCATTTGTACGTCATTGGCCCTAGTAATCAGCATTACAAATTAGCAGGGAAATTTAGACTAAGAGTATAATGAAAACTATAAAAAAAAAAAAACCAAGGTGTCACATTCAATAAAGGTGAGTGGACATTTTACATTTAAAAAAAAAGGACTTTTTATTTTTGATCGTCAAAGTTTATTTTCTTCTTGAGAATTGGCTTTTCAGCCTTTTCCTCATATATTCCAGCATAGTTTGAAGATCTTGTCTACCTTAGTTTGAACCCACTGGGTTAGATAGTGCTGAATATCTCTATATTAGGCTAAGTGACTGTGACTAAGTGAAAATGTTAGTTTTCTTATCTGTGAAATGAGGGGTTTGGAGTATGTCTCTAAGATCTCTTTTGACTGTTACACTTTCTTGTCAGTTCCATTGCTGTAGCTTCATCGTTCACGTAAGGACTCTTCAGAGTAGCGGAAGAGTGCCTTTCAATACTGAGCTCTTGAATACTGATGTATTGGACTCTTGAAAGTGGTGTTACTTGGTCTCAAGAGAAACTAAGGCAAGAATATGTACATGTCATTGCCAGAACATCAATATTACCAAGATAGCAACTCCAAGCACATAACTTTGTTTACGAATAGCACATTGTTTTTATATTACTGAGTTAATACAAGAGTCTCAGAATATTTTGTATTAGAGGTGATACCACAAAATTACTGTATCAGAGAAATGAATTTGATCTCCTATTATGTATTTTAGAAAAATCATCCCCATTGAAGTTTTGGCAAATGAAGCTTTCCTTATTTACAGAATAAAAGTTGGAGTTTCTTTTTAATTCGTCAATCTATTGGAGGCAGTTTTTTTCAACAATCATTTATGATAGGCCATCATTTGAGGCAGAGAGTGGAGGTGATGGTCTGGAGTAGAGGTTGGCGAACTATAGCCTCAGGTCAAATCCAGTTCTCTACCTGTTTGTAGAAGTTCTTTGGGAACAAAACCACACTCAGTTTACGTATTGTCTGTGTCTGCTCTCACAATACAACATCAGAGTTGAGTAATTATGAGAAAGACTGTATGGTCCACAAGCTTAAAACATTTACCATTTAAATATTTACCTTTGCAGAAAAATGTTGTTGACTCCTGGTCTAGAGCAGTGTTGTCGAGTAGAACTTTCTGCGGTGGTGGAAATGTTATTTCTGTTTCCGCACGGTTCAGTACGGTAGCCTCTATCTGCTGTTGTGCACTGGAGCTGTGGCTAGTGAGGCTAACTGAATTTTTAATTTTATTTAATTTTGATTTACATTTAAAATTAAGTAGCCACATGTGGCTAGAGATGACTGTTTTAGACAGTGCAGGTGTAGAGATTTGAAGATGGGGGACATTGTGGTTACAGAATAGCTAATTGTTATATATTAAATTGGATGGAATGGAAGCTTATGTAACTCGTGTGATGACAGATAAATGCTTGTACATAATATGTTCCTATAGGTTTACAATTTTTTAAAAGTTTGCTGTGATTTCAGCTGTTTCACATGTACTGTTTTTCCTCTGCAGTGAGGAGGAGCTCCCATATCATAATGCAGCTATGGAACGGGTAAGTCCAACTCTGCATTTATTTATAGTTACTGGTGAATTACGTTTATCAGATGAATAAAATCTGCCACCTTTGTGATTTTGAGTGCCATATTATACATGTAAAGGGGGAAGTCGTTGTTAGAATTTGACCCCAAGTATATCACTGTAAGAAAGTAATTAAATTAATGGTGAAATAATTTTAGATTTTATGGGACTTCTGATAGACACTTGAGTAAAAGGAAAGGTAGCAGTTATCAGAGACCTGCATTCTAAACAGGTAGTTCTCATCTAGGAGTTCTTCAGAACATAGAGCGGTTTAAGAGCACTGTTGCTGGGGACCCACCTCACCCTGTTAGGTCAGACTCTGACCAGGAGCTGAGGAAGCTAATTTGTAAAAAGCTTCACAAGTGATTCTCATGTGCCTGTGGCTAGTAAAGCACTGTTCTAGACCAGTGGCTCTTTGGAACATAGCTGTTCCAGGAGGTTTTCATCAAATTTACCACCACCACCACCAACAAACATTTGCTGTAGTCAAATAAATATGTTAACTTTTTAAGGATGTAGAGAAGTCTTACCTGTCACTTTTTTTGATAACTCAGTGTGTTTCCCCTTTCTTCATTACACTTGGCTAGGGAGCTGGTTCCATAGCTGGGTGTGCATGAAATGTCAGTAGGGACTTTTCAAGTAGGAATGTTTTCAAGTTGGTCAGAATCTCCCTCCCCTTCTTCATCTTTTCTGTACCAACAATGAATTGTAGAATGAAAGAGAGGCTATTGATTGGGATTATTCTCAATTTGTTTATGTTTGATGGGGGAAGGAGGCTGAGTTTCAGATAATGGAGGTAAAATTGGAAATTGAAACATATTTCAGAAAATCTTTATAAAATAAAAATTTTATGAAAATAAAAACTGTAGCATAACTTTGAGCTGTAGACAAAATTTCCGTTTTCCAAATACAGAGATCCCTGTAGGTACTTCCTGCAGTTGAATTCTCTCGTGACTGCCTGATTCTCTCTCAGTATCCTAACCTTGATGTTTTGTTGAAGGGATTCCTTTCTTTTCATAGCTACATTATTGCCTAGCAACTGTGTTAAGCACTGGACTATGTACTGCCTAGAATATTGAGATCAAATAAGACAGAGTTTCTGCATTTGTGACGCTCGCTGTCTGTCCAGTGACTAGAGGAAGATCAAGTGAGACAATAGGTGGGAGATTATTGGTGGCTTTCAGGAGCCTAGTCTTAGTGAGATGAGTTGGTAGTACTGGTGCTGGGGAAGGCAGACCCCTGTGGCTAAGGAATGAATGAAAGAAAGTGACAAAAACAGCGAGCACTTTCTAAATTCTGCCTCTGGTGAACTTGTGTCAGTCCACTTTGAAACAGGAACGGAAGGCTTTGTTTCCACGCTCTGACCCCTCTCTCTTGTCTGGTGCCCTGGCCTCAGGGACCCTTGGCCCCCCTGGTACCACCACTGTTTCATTATCCCTCCCCATGCTTGTTTGTGCCTTCAGTCCCCTCTCTAATTCTAGGTTGGTACAGTCACTCACATACACCTTCACCTCCCTCGCCTCTCTTACTTCTAGGCTAACCAATGACCCTAGTTAAAGCCAACTTCCTGCCTCTGCGGTGCCTGCAGCTGCATGGTGAAGTACAAGTAGGAGACTCACAACCAGGCCGACTGCTTTTACTTTACATTCATGATCACAGACCTCAGTTGGAGCGTTACTGCTGCCTGGAAATCATACTGTTCCTGCCTAGTGAATTTCTGCTTCCATTTTAACTATTGGAAGCCTCTCTGCCCTCCTTAAACCTCCAGCACCTCCTTCTCCCTCCTGTCTCAGCTGGTGTTCTTGCTTCTTGTTTCTTATAAGAAAATAGCAGCAGTCAGAAGAGAACTTGCACGAGCTTCCACAGCCACACCCACCCCCATCCTCACCTGTGCCTAGGTGCTCTAATTTCTGTGAGCATGTGTGTTGCTCATGCAGGGACATCACTAGAGCTAGTCTTCCCTCTCTCCTGAACTCGCTCTCCCTCTACTTGATTGTTCCCACCAGAATAAAGTCTATTATTATTCCCACTAAAAAAAAAAACAAACGCCAATCTTCTTTTGACCCCATTTTCTCCTCAGCTACTGCCCTGATTCTCTGTGGCCCTTACAGTAAAACTCCTTGAAAGAGGCATCAATATTCTCTTTTCCATTTCTTGCGTACAGTTCTTTGTTGTGTCCATTCCAGTCAGAGTTAACTCCCCACCCTGACGCCCTACCCTATTGCCATTATCAGGGTCTCTGGTCCCTCTGCACTGTTACATCACGTGGTCAATTCTCAGTGGACCTCCCGGCAGCGTTTGACGTGGCTGGTTACTGTTTCTTTCTTACACATCCTCTTTCCTTGGCCTTCAGAACTCCATACTCTGCATATTCTTTTTTCCTCACTGGCTGCTCTTTCTCATTTTGCTCTGCTTGTTCCTTCTCATCTCCATGATCTCTACACTGTGGGGTGCTCCGTGGCCCAGGCCTGGAACTTCTCTTTCCTAGCTGTGTTACTTCCTTGGTAATATCAGCTAGTCTTTTGTCTTTAGGTGTCAATAGTGTGTTGGTGACCTGGCTCCCTGAATCCCAGACTTGTATGTCCTTGTATATGTATTTCAATGTCTAGACTTAGATATCTGACTTACTTTACTTACTTAGGTATCTAATAAAGGTCCCAAAGGGAGTTTCTGTTATTCTCTTCAAATCCATTCTATTAACAAACTTCCCTATTTCAGTAAATGGGAACTACTTCTAGTTGATCCATCTCGAAACTTCTGAGTTATCTTTGACTTGCTTCCTTTCATGCTCCACATTTCGTCTGTCAGCAGTCCTGTGAGCTCTGCCTTCAGAATGTAGTCAGAATCTGAGGACTTCTCACCACCTCCACTTCTGCCGCCCGGTCCCCTGTAGTCTCTCTTCTGGAGCTTCCAACTTCCTGCTTCTGCCATTGGTGCCACAGTCTGTCTATTCACCAGAAGAGCCAGAACGATCCTGTTAAAATGAGTAAGATTGTGTCCCTCTCTGATCGGAACATTGTGGTGGCTCCCCATCTTATCCACAGGAAAAGGGAAAGTCCTTAGAATGACCTCAAAGCCCTGTATGACCTGGTTTCTGTTAAGTGTCTCATCTCATTTCCTACGGCCTTCTGTCGTTCACTCACTGGCCTCCTCTGTATTTCTTGAGCATGCCTGCCGTATTCTCTCTTTCAGGCTTTTTGCACTGGCTGCTTCCGCTCCTGGGGTGCTCTTCCCCCTGACAGCTACAGGGTGCAGTCCCTCATCTCCTTCAGGTGTTGACTCAAATGTCGCCTTCAGAGTAAGACCCTCCCTGGCAATCGTATCTAAAGTAGGGAACTCCCTTTCCCACACACACATGCTAATTATCCCCTCCTTCCTTTATTTTTCTCCAGCACTTAACACTGTTTTACTTGTATCTTTATCTTGTCTGTTTCCTCACTAGGATGTAATCTCTCTGAGGGAGGTTTTATCTGCTTTGTTCACTGTTGTATCCCCAGAACCTAGAGCAGCACATATATATGCTCAATAGATGGTGCCTGAATGACCAAATGAGTGTAATGACTACTCTATAGCACTAAATATGTTGATTTAAAGATTGGCAGAGATTGTCCTTTCAAATGTTACAATATCCTTTATTTGAGAAAGTAGGATGGGAAGAGTTGGAAGGTATCTTCTAACAAAAGATATCTATATTTGGAAAAAGAAAAATCTGGCAACCCAGTATCGACTTTTCTCTCCAATGCCCCCGTCCTCCCCCTGTTTTTAAAAATAATTTCCTGGTCCAGAAAATCCAAGTCTGGGAACCAGTGATATAGATGATTTAAGAAATGTTACAGTGAAGAAAAGAATATGAGACAAAAGCTAGTGGAGGATGCATGCTTTAGGGAGGTTATTTGTTTTTAAATTTTTATTTGTTTTTTTTTTTTGTCAGGAAGATCAGCCCTGAGCTAACATCCATGCTAATCCTCCTCTTTTTGCTGAGGAAGACCGGCTCTGAGCTAACATCTATTGCCAATCCTCCTCCTTTTTTTTCCCCAAAGCCCCAGTAGATAGTTGTATGTCATAGTTGCACATCCTTCTAGTTTCTATATGTGGGACGCGGCCTCAGCATGGCGGGAGAAGTGGTGTGTCGGTGCGCGCCCAGGATTAGAACCCGGGCTGCCAGTAGCGGAGCGCGTGTGCTTAACCGCTAAGCCACGGGGCCGGCCCTTTTTATTTGTTTTTTGAGAGACTTGCTGTACAATAAAAGGCCTCCTATGCAGTACAATTAAGGTTATAATTAATTGGTTGTTTACTCCAAAGAGGTTAATATAATAGGAAATCGCTAAAAAATGACCTAGGCACACCTTCATAATTTAACATAGGACGTCATTTTATATTCATTGGTCAGTCTATTACTGGGAGAGGGGCAGGGTTCTGAGGCTGCTGATAGAGATTCCATTATGCCTTTCGTACATAAACTGCATTCATGTTGCATGACCTGCCTTTTACAGTTTTGATTTCTTTAAAGTGGAATGAGAACTTGAGACATGTGCAAAGCAGTCTGAGGCAAGAAACCTTTTAGTTTATCAAGATTTCTCCCAATTTTTCTAGTTTAAGTTTAGTTCATGTATTCTTCAGTGACTACCTAGTCCTAATGGCCAAGCTCTGACATTTCTAGGAAAGTAATAAAAAATTCTACATGTAGCTTCATTGAATAAAATAAATGGAAATGATAGCCTAGCTGAAGTCTACAAGTGTTTATTAATCTTTTTGTTTGTTTGTTTATTGCAGTAACATTGGTTTATAACGTTGTATAAGTTTCAGGTGTACGTCATTATACTTCTGTTTCTGCAAGGATTACATCATGTTCTCATGTTCACCACCCAAATACTAATTACAATCTATCACCACACATGTGCCTAATTATCCCTTTCACCCTCCTCCCTCCCCCCTTCTCCTCTGGTAACCACCAGTCCAATCTCTGTCTCTATG